TCCCTAATTACTCCTCCCTGTGTATTTAAGCCCTGTCTTGTCTCTGTCTTGTGTCAGTCCATTGTGGTATTCTGCCAGTTCTGCTCTAGTGTTCTTTGTCTCTAGTATTTTGATCTCAGCCCTCTCCAGTCTCTAGTGTTTTGTCTCTAGTTTTTCATTTTTGACTTATTGGAGTTTTGACTTCCAGCCCCTGTGGATTTATTTGTATTTTTTGGACTCATCCTTCAAAATAAAGGATTTTTTTTATATTATCACCTGCGTCGTGTCATCTTGGGTTCCTGCATTTTGGGTCCTACAAACCTCGTAACATGACAAGTTTTGACACTAGCCAAGCATAAACTCAGCTACTTGGTTAACTGTTTTCCTGTAATTTAAACTCAAAGGAAAGTAAAAACATTTTCCTAGAAATCTTTTCTTTCCCTCATGTACATCCTGACCCTTTTTTATCCTTCTTATCAAACAAATACGGCATTAAAGCTTTGCTCCCTCTAATTTTGCTGGGATGGATAATCACCTTTCCAGTTTGTTACGTAACCGTGACGAGCCAACAAACTGGCTTCTGTCAATCGTCCAATCGTCCCGCCAATCACACCGCTCATGCTCACATGCCAGACCTCCTCCCGCACCCTCTGAGCCACACCACACCGCTCGGGTGATATAATCAATGTTAAAAGCCTTTTTTGCCTTTGCACAGGCTGTGACTTCACCCACACACTGACACGCACACACGCTCTCGGATCTGAGGCAGACAACACACACACTCTCTCATGCATGGCTCAACAGAGGTTTAGAGGTCACTCCACAAGGGCAAGAGTTTAGCTCGTAAACAACAACAAGCCTTTCTCGTGTTCTCTTGCTGAGAATAAACACACACAAAGGCAGCAATTGCATCTTGGAATAATTGGCCACAGTTAGAAGCTTGTCTTACAGTGCACTTCAAATCAAAATCATCTAATCATACGGGATTGATGCACTCGTCTGGGAATACTGCAGAAGGCTTTCTGCAATGAGATGTGTTTTCATCTCATCAGACTGATGTTTCTCTGCTGCCAAGTCTCGCATCCGGCATGATATTTCCACCGTAATCCCCTCACACGACAGCAGAGCGCTGCTTGCAGACTGGTGGGCTGAGTTAGTCAGCTACAGAGTAGTACACACAACACTCTAACAAATCTACCTGTTTCGACAGTTTTAAATGATAGTTTAGAGCTTTGAAAGGGTGCTTCTTCAATGTTAACAACAACAAACTCTTCCAAGTACTTTGCATGGAGGCATTGTGGAATCATATCCAAATCAATGCTACAGTGTCTCATTGGATGGAGATAGAAATCAGCTATTTATAGATTTAAATATTCATAGTCCACCAGGGTAAAACTGTTTCAGCGACAGTTTCTTTGGATATTTCTTTAATTTATTGATACTGTTTATTTAAATGAATCATTATTTATTCATTAACTGTCTGTTAAATCCAAAACCGGCTGTAGAGTTTACTCAATTCAGTGATTAGAAATCCTGAAAATTCTTCAAAATAAATAATGAAGTTGTTAAATTTTGATCAGTGAGAAGAGTTAAATGATTTATGACTTGTATAATTTAGTATGATATGTTCCATTGTAGGTCTTTTATAATGTATAATTCATTTATTAGTTTTCTAACAGCTTTTTAGTGCTCTGCTAAAATAAATTGCATCTTGGACAATATGGCAGATATTCCCACAATGCACTGTGGATAGTATAAGTACATAGGTAGGCTATATTTTGTAAACAAATCTTTAAATTCCAAGTCACTCAGTTATTTGAATTATATGGTTATTTGCAGCAGACGATAGTGGTAGAGATAGCTAGCTGTGGCACTTCTAATTTAGCATGTAGCATTTTTATGCTTTTTGGAAATAAAAACACTGATGGTGAACAAAAGGCTTAGAAAATGACATTAATATGAACCACTTGGATATTTTTGTGATTATAATTATTTAAAAATGGCAGAAAGTAATTTTGCATTTAGAGTAGCTAGCTGTTATCTTGTCTGTCTTTAGTCTATAATCTAGAACCATTAAAAGAGCTTCATCTTTGCAACATGTTAAATATGTTTGTTCATAACTTGTCTGACAGGAAAATGCTTCAAGAGATCAGAATCAAAATTTTCATGTTAAATTTGGTAATTAAAGGGATAGTATGTAACTTTTTAATATGTTTAAATAATTTTCTTGAGCCTTTATGTGCTAAAATGACCCTGGCAGGGTTACTGCAAGGTCATTCACACCCCACTGCACTCTGTGGCCACAATACAGCATTTGCAACTTCAGAGTGTTGGTCCTGTTCCTGCTGGTGGGGGCAGCTGTGAGGTGGAGTGGAAAACACCACATGTTTTAGGTAATCAGCACAGCTGATTTGTGATGACTCACTCCTGCAGACACTAATGAAGGCTGGAGAGACGTTTCAGCTGTTAGATTAAGGTGTTAAAATGATGAACGCGCCTCAAGGAGATGGGTTTCATTTTCGGATTAACCACAGTGAATTATTAACGGACACAAGGGAATGCTAAAAACAAGCAAATCTGCAAAGAGCCTTTTAAATGTCTGTTAATTGAAAAGACTGTTGCTAGTGTCTGTCTGTTTAGTGATTTTCAGACTAAACAGATGTGTTCAGCCAGGAGTTTATAATCTTATTTGTCGCAGCTGAATTATTATACAACCACAAGCGGCTGCTGGAGAAAATTTAACGTATTTTTAGTTTAAACAGAAGAGCTCCAAGCTGTTAAACTGCTTTTCTAAGGAAAAGAGCAGCGTGGGAGGCAGAAGTCTGTGCTCTGCAGCTTGATGTTAAGCTGTTGCTGCAGATTTGAATTCCCGGCTAATTCATCATCGTGCAGATGTGCTGACCAAAGGAGCGAGCTAGCGCCTCAGTAAGGGAATCAGATTAATTGTTGGGGTTGTGTTTTTTAAATTAAAGGCTGATTTACACAGATATTTTTTTCTTAGTTTTTTTTTTAAAGCCCGTGCCCAGAGGAGAGAGGGACTCATCTTTTTGTTGCATCATGACCTATTTATTTTCTGAGTATTTTTAACAACATCATTTCTGTATATTGTTTTTAAGGTGGTATTTTTAACGTCCCTTTGTACAACTTGTGTGTTTTATTTTTGCAAATCTTCTACAACTATTTATGAGTTACTGTGACTTTAATGTGTTTTATTTGCACTTATGCAGTGATGACAAAGAGATTTTGTGTATCCTTGTGCAAGTGTGTGTTCGTGCATGTAAAGTGTGTTTGCACAGTGTGAGATGTACAGCGGATCTGTCTTGTGTCATGTTCACTCTTTTCCTTTCTTTGTGTGTCCGGTGCCTTACCCTTGTCTCTTGCTGTGATGTTGTAGAGCTTGGGACTTATGGGAAACTAAAATATTATCACTCAATGACTGAGGAAGGTAAGCCTGAACATTTTCACTTCTTTCATGACATGATTTGACTTCTGTCCTCCTTCTTACTCATTCTTTTCATCCTCATAGTGCAGCAGTACCTCCCTCCGCCTTCCTTCTTCCTTTTTTTTCTCTCTTGTGACACCTTTTGCTTTTCAGTTTGACAGCCTCTTTGAGATTTCACTGACATAAGTGCAAATCATGGAAACCATGCCATTCTTTTTTATTATTTAAAGTCTCATTTTTATTTTTAGATCTAATTTATTTTTGCCTGAATAATGTGTGTACAATTATTGTGTTACTGTGTGGTGCTTTTTTGTATTTTTAACACAGTTTCAGCAACACTAGCGAACCGACGTCATATGGTGCTGAATGTACTAATACATTTAATAAGCAGGATGGTGAAGCCACATGCACGTAAACGTATAGAACAGATTTTAATTAATTTTTTTTCCAATTGCTCTATTTTTGTACGTTTGTTCCTGTAACCCATCTGCGCTGCTGAGAAATGCATCATCCATGCCTCAGCGCTCGCTTGGAGGTTTCACTTACACCAGCAGCGGGTGAACACACCTGAGACGTACATTGCTGAGTGACTCATCCACCCGATGATTACGTAAAAGGCAGAGCTGCGCTAGAAACAGGGCGGGGTGCAGGAAAATACTAGACTCAAGTTTGTTGGAGGCCAAACATAAACTGTCCCGTGTCGGACTTAGATTTTAACATAAGTAAGTTATGTAAATTACATTTCCAGGAAAATCAAGGACACGTGTCGACATGTTTACACATTCGATACCTGGTATTGTCACGCGCAAACATATGGTTTCCATGTTATCCCAAGGGCTTCACATGTGAACATAGGTTTCACACTGTTATCATGGAAATTCACAATGCAAATGTGTGCAAAATACAGAAGGTCACATGTTTTTCACATGCCTCATGATTGTTAACATGTTCTCACATGTTAAATTTCACATGCATGAGTTTCACATACGCCCATGTGTTTTTTTTGCAAGTATACACAAAGTGGGTTACTTTATTTTACACACATTGTTCAATGTAAACAAATGTTGTTGAAGTATTTTATTATTATTATTATTATTATTATTATTATTATTATTATTATTTCATCATCTTCATCTGTTCACATGCTGTTGATATTTCTTCAGTTGAATCAACAAGAAAAGCATCAGTTAGCTAGTAAGTGATTTTAGCCTTCTGTCACAAACAGTAAAATTGGTTCTAATCTCTTTAGTTAAATCTATAAAGCATTTATCTAATATCAGCGATTTGGCTACTGCAGTGGCGGATATAAGATTTTTTGGAGTATGGATCCACCAAGGGGCCCCAATATTTATTGGTCCAACATCCTTACTCAAGATTTCAAATAGGAAATTTCTATTTGACTCATTAACACCACTGGTGTTTGGACTTGTAATTCCACCCACCTATAATTTGATCATCACACAAGGAACTAATGAGTGACAGGACAAGGACACTTCGGGGGGCCAATCAGATTTTAGCAGGGGCAAATGCCTCTATGGCCCCACCCCTAGAACCATCAATGGTTTTAGCTCACAACTGATTCCTCTCTTAGGTCCTGTTGTTAGTCTCTGCCAGACTGCTGTTTGCCATGCTGTTTATCTGCAGCAAATACAAATTTGTGGTACAATTTATTTTGTCCTCTACCTTTTCAAATACATTTTTTCCCAAAAGAATAGAAAGAAAAATATTTTTGAAAGGCAACCAAAGTTCAAAAAGAAAGGCTTGTGCTTTAGAAATACATTTTTAAACACAGTATGTGTGTGTTCTTTATTTTTGGGAATTTATTCTAATTCGTGATAATGCCTTTCATAAAAGTAAACTTCCATTTTCTCTTGTAAATACTTTTTTTCTGCCTTTGAAGATTTTTGTGACTGTACCTTGGACCTATAGGATCCAGAGGAATCTCACCCAAAGCCATCCCAAAACCAAAAGCTAAATGTGTCCCTAAACCAATTCAGAAAAATAACCTCAAATCGATACTCTATGGTTATAAAGAGACACTCGGTTGTAAAAATACACTGAAAGATTAAACGGAGTAAAGAATGTGTCAGAAGGAGTCTCACAGCAAAGAAATACAAAATATCCACAAATTGCAAAGTTGCAGACAGTAAAACTGTAACTTTTGTGGCTGTTTTGTGTTTTTTTTAGACTGAAAAAAGTTCTCGGTTGGCGCCTTTGCTTCATAAGCCATTCTTTACGGGGTACCATTTATAAAGTCAAATAGTAACTTAAGAGCAATATTTTTTTTAGTTATTTAGCTTATTGTAAGAGAAAACAATACAGGAGTTCATTTTTCTAAATCAAATATTTCATTTAGAGTTAAATAATTATTTTATCAACTAAATAACTAGGTCAGATCTAAATGTTTATTTTGTAAAATAAGTATTAAACTCTAAATTAAACATTTAGCTTGCTAAATAAATATTTAATTTATTCCCTAATTATTTAAATTGGAGCTAAATATTTAGTTTACAAGCTAAGTATTTAGGTCCAAATTAATATCTAGTTAAGTAAATTAAATATTTATTTTACAAACTAAATATTTAGGGCTGACCTAAATATTTTGCTTACTAAATTAGTTTTAGTTTACTATCTAAATATTAAGCTCCAAATTAAATGTATATTTTCCTAAATAAATATTTAGGTGTTTTCTTCTTTTTTTTTAATATTGATTTTGCAAACAAAATGTTTAGCTCCAAAATAAATTTTTAGCTGGGACCAAAATATTTATTTAGGAAAATAAATATTTTATTTGGTGCTAAATATTTTGTTAAGTAAATTAAATACTTATTTTACAAATTAAAAAGGTGACCTAAATATTTAGCTTGCTAATATTTTGTTGGGAATTTTAACATTTATAAATGTATGAATAGCATATACTGAAAGCATGACTCCCATTTTTTTCTCATGATTGGCCAAATAAACCAAAATACTGCTGTTAAATTATGGCTGTTTGACTTTACAAATGGCAACCCTTAATCCTTAGTGGAATATTTTCCACTGAAAGTTCATAGTTACATCTTACACCGCATGCCAGAGAACGGTGGGGGTTAAAGCGTTAAATAACTGCCTCCGAACACCCGTAGTTGAGGCGTGTTGATGATCTCTGCATGCAAAATTTCACAAATACACACCCAGCCAAGTGAGAACTACTGCCTAAGGTGAGTGATGTTGAGGCAGGCGGATGTGTGACGATGTCTGGTGTGCCGTGTGTGTGTTGTTCACATGAGATGGGGAGAAGCAGCCAGGGAGGGGTTGTGTGTTCCCAAATAGTGAAAAGACAAGGTGAAGGAAAGATGGATGAGTGACGAGAAAGAAGGAGAGAAGTGACGCATAACGAGGAAGAGGAAAAGTGAACGAAGCAGCCAGTTGGTTGGGGGTTATTAATGATTTCGCTAGAAGGTCACAGACAGTGTCGACATGGTTGGGTGGAGCATACATTGACGCAGTACTGTGTCAAATACCAACAAATCAGCCATGCCCTCCTAAAGTTAAAACGAAAAAAAAAAAATCTTTTCCATTGATTTCAATAGGGTGGTTTGGTATATAGGCAGAAGAGACAGACTGGCATGTACAGACATTTAATTGACTTAAATATCAATACATGACAGATTAAATACATCAAGTTGATTACTCCAACTTTTTTAAAAATTTAAATGTTCACTCCTACAGACTTCTGATTAGAATGAAGTAGAAGAAACCTTTTTTACATAGCACCTCTCAAGATAAAAATCATGAGATGCTTCACAAGAACGATAAAAATAAAAAATGAAAATAGAAAATGGTTTAAAGGATCATGATGAAAAATAGGAAAAAAAGGGAATACGAATAAATAGGAAAAAGAAAAGTGTAATCACTATTTCAAAACTGACAGAAAAAAGTCCACTGATCTCAGGCTCAGGGGAGAGAGTTCCAGAGTCTGGGGGCAAATGATCTGTCACCTTTGGTCTTTAGCCTGGTGTTGCACAACCAGTAGGCTTTGGTCACTGGACCTCAGGGACCTGCTGGGGGTGTAGGGACTAAGAAGATCACCAATGTAAGATGGTGCTTGTCCATGTAAGGACCTATAGACCAGAACCAGGATCTTGAAATGAACCCTGAAGTTGACTGGCAGCCAGTGAAGCTGGAGGAGAAGCGGGGTGATGTGGGTGTGTTTGGAGGACTTGGTCAGAAGCCGAGCACAGGCATTCTGAACCACCTGTAGACGGTTCAGGGAGGTTCTGCTCAAACACGTGAAAAGAGAGTTACAGTAGTCTAAGCGTGAGGAGATGAAGATGTGGATAACTGTCTCAAGTTCAGAGCGGGACAGAACGGGACTCAGCTTAGCAATGTTCCTGAAATGGAAGAAGGAAGAGCGAACAAGAGAACTGACATGAGAATCCAGGGTGAGAGCTGGGTCAAAGGTCACGCCAAGATTCCTGACAGAAGGTTTGGTGTGAAGCAAGCTGACCAAGAGAGTCTCTGACTTTGGGAACCAGCTTGTCTGGGGCACAGATGAGGATCTCAGTCTTATCTGCATTCAGCTGAAGAAAGCTTCCAGCCATCCAGGTTTTAATAGAGTCTAAGCAGGTGTGTAACAGCATCTGCTTAAAAGAAGAAAGAAGAAGAAAATATCATTTCTATAGTGCCTCTCAAAATAAAAATTACGAGGCACTTCACAAAAACAAAAAAATGTAAAAAAATAAAAAATAATTTAGAAAATGATTAAAATATATTTAAAAATAGACAATTGTGATTAAAATGTAAAGGAAGAGAGAGAGAGTGAATAGGAAAGAGGGAAATCAGTGGATCCTGAGGAAGGTGAAATAGGTAGGGAGAGCAGAACAAGGAGAGGGTGATGAAGGTCACACCAAAACCAGATTGAACAAGCTTAGACATCTCATGAAACTTAAAGTAGATGTACAGTTGGATGTTATCTGCATAAAGATGGTAGGAGATTCCTTGAAAGGAGCTCAGGATGTGCTGAAGAGGAATCAGATAGAAGAGGAAGAGTAGAAGCTCCAGCACAGAACCTTGTGGGACACCATGAGTGAGGGAGGTGGTGGAGGACTGAAACTTGGAGAAGGCCACAGAGAAGGAACACTCAGACAGATATGAGAAGAACCACTCCAGAGCAGTTCCTGGTAGGCCTATCCAGTCTCTCAGCCTATCCAGTAGCAGGTCAACAGTGTCAAAATGGTTGAATATCTGAGTTGAGTTCCTGATTTGAAAATGAATACTGAACAAGACTGAATCTGACCTCCATTGGAGAACATTGTCCTCACTGAGGACAAGGACACTGCAGGATCATCAGTATATGATATGTCATAGTCACTCGATGTTGCGTGAAGCTTTTTGTACAGTTCTTTTCAAACGTGACCCGTCAGGGGTCAAAGGTAATAGACAAGGGCTCTTGCCATGATGAGGCCAAAAGGATTGCCTTGCTCCACATTTAATGCCTGTGCCCTCTATCTTTGCTTATTTTCATTTCCAGGTAAATTTCGAGAGAAGGCATCCATTCTTCACAAGATTGCCAAAAAGAAATGCCAGGTGGAGGATAGTGAGAAGGCCAATGGAGTGGCAAGCCGTTCAGGTAAGACACCTAAATGAGAATATTCAGATCTTTCTTGTGTGCATACAGAAAATCTAAAGGTGAAGCATGAGCACCTAAATGTGAATTATGGTGTTTTTTAGGATCAAATAACTAACTATAACTAATTGGAGAACATGAATTAATATTTCAACATACAGCAGAAAGGTAAGAAATACATGAGTCAGGAGTAGAAAACATTATCTAAGGTGTACTTTTACATTTTTGTCAGGACACTTCCATGTGTTTATATCACGGAGGTGGGGCCTAATACTGCAGCCAACAGCAAGGCCACGTTTCAGTTACTTTGGTGGTATTTCCCTATGTATAGTTATTAGGAGTGGCGATTTTTGTGAATACAACTGGAAATGTTTTAGCGTGTCATAAATACACATGGATATGTTTATAAAGGGTTCAGCTTTCTTTATGCAAACCTTTGTGTCACGTTTTGTGTCACTGACAACGGGTTTCAGGTCAACAGAAAGGTAGTGATTCAGGATGATTATGGCAATGAAGGATAATTACAAACATCTCAGATGTTTTATAAGGTTTTATTGAAACTTGCATTGTGTTTATGCAAAGAGTCAAAGACCTGCAAAGACCTGTAATTCATCCTGGCATGGTGTCAATCAACTTCTGGCACATATCCTAACTAATGGCAGCCCGTTCTTGCATAGCCAAAGGTTGGACTTTGGCAGAATTTGTTTATTTGTTTGCTGACCTTCTCCTTTATAATTGACTGTGAGATCTGAATTAAATTAACTTCTAGGAGAAGAAACAAGCAAGTTTCCATTGACTCCCATGGTAAAAGTGTTACCTTCACAGCAGAAATGCGTGTTAACAATGTGGTTCACTGTTTAACTATTAAAACATTTTAAGTTTAATAGGTCAAGTTTACCATCATGACAACTCTGAGGGGATTGAACGTTTTTGTAACTCATCCGTTTAGATATGATTAAAGCTTGAATTATGAATAAACAAGGGTGTGTCCAACAGGTAGCCGATGAAACGTCAGCACTTGCGCCACCTCAGTCTCACATTAAAAATGTTACATCCTAGAGGGCAGAGGATAGTAGAGTCACTCCACCGTGGTTTTCTGGCTAAAAGCGCCCGCCAACCTTTGTTAGCTTTAGTTAGCTGGTAGTTACATTAGCTCAGAGTTTGTTGGTTGTCAATCATTTGCCCCCACCCTCACAACTCCACTCTCAGCTCCAGTTTTTGCATTTTCTGGGAGTGACGAGATACTTAACATGGCCAAATTGATGGTGGTGGGAGGCGGCCATTGGGCTTCAAGTCAGCTCTTCAGAAACCTACAGTTTGGTGCGGAGGGTTTGTCCATTATTTATACAGTCATTGGTGAAAATATCTCATTTCATATTCTCTACATCTCAACATTCCATTTCCAACTATCAGCAGCTAAAAATGGAAACTAGATGGATCAGTAGCCATTCTACAAAAATCTGCTGCTTTCTAATGTGCATCAACTTTAGATAACTTACATTAATTGCTAAGATATCCCCTCTGAAATGATTAATGAGCATCCCACTCAACGTTAAACAAGCGTGACATTACCAAGGACAGCCAAATTGATTGCGAGTGTTGTCTTCAAGCGGTGCTTATATCAATCACAGTCACTGCCAAGTGTAATTTGTGTGCTTTTTCCTTTCAAAGCGTACCAGACCAAAGAGTAAACAGGCTAAAGGAAGCACTTTCATGGCTGCAGGAGAATCAAAGCACGATGTCGACGAGCATCAAAAGGCAAAATTATGCTAACAAGAAACATTAACATATTACCCTCTTAATCAAAATGGATGATTAGAAGTCAGGTATCTAATATGCTAAGTCTTAAACATCTTTAATGATAAACAGTGCTGTTAGAGTATTGTACCATGTAAACCATAAGATTAGATTCTTATTTTAGATAATCTTCCAACATTTAACCAATCAGGAGCCTCATTTATAATGCTTGCTTATGCACAAAATGGGATCTGAAAACGGTGTAAGTGACTTTCCATACACACTTTGTAATTTATATAGAAATACGTGATGGAAAAATGTGCAACTTTAAGTAAATACTGAACCTGGCATAATATTTGGAGTTGTTGAGATGGTGAAATGTTCAATTTAGGGCACATTTTCAGATTTATAAACCCTCGCGTACACACAAATACAACAATCAGTACCCCCATCTTTTTTCTTAAAATATTATTATTTTGAAATGTCTTCAAATTTATAGGTGCATTCATTGTTTGATGCACAAAAACTTCATAAAACTATAAAGTAGAACAACATTGCCGCGAGCGGAGGTGCATCTCATTGGGTGCAATCCCTCCCTGCTCATCATAGCACTGCTTTTATTGATAGTATCAGTGATTATTGCCATCTTAGGCTCCATCTGACCACTTCTTGAAATGTTTTATTTAAATTATTGTTATTCACTGATAACTCTGCTGCAGCAGTGAGGTGCCTCTCGAAGGGAATACAAAATGTTTTCCATGCGTCTGTCATGCAAAGCATAGATTTCCAACTTGGTTATCATGATTACCCATGACATGTTGTAGATAAGCAGGCCTTTGTATATGCACAATATTCATAACATTGTCCTTTTGTGGTGTGTGTAGGAGGTGGGATGTGATCCAGAAACACCTGAGCATCTTTCTAGGACAGGTGTGATTTATTAGGCAGAATCTGCATTAGTTTGTGTAACAAGTGCTGTTGCTGAGCTTTAGCAGGGTTTTAGTAGGAACTCTATGCAACATTTTATAAATGAGGCCTCGGGTAATGTGTTGGGATAATAATTACGATATCTGGTTAAGAGTCATTAGTTTTAGCAAACTGGAATTCTTTTTAGAAAACATTTTACTGTCTTCAGTCATGTAAGGAATTCCTGCTAAACGTTGTTTTCCATTGAAGAATGCAGCAGTCGGTTTGGCTCAAAAGGTTCTGGATTTAGGAAGACCTCCACATCCAGTTTAAATGTGTTCCAGATGCAAATCAACTATTAGGAATGACACTTGGTTTACTAATCGATGAATGTATCATTAGCAATACAAGCTAACAGCTGTATGACTTTGCATTTTAGACACAGTGGCTCTATCTGTAAAGCTGACATGTTGATGTGCTAACAGGCAAAAGAACAAATAGTTTATTACTCACGATGTTAGCACTGATCACAAAGTCATCATGTTGGATTTCAAAGTGGAAAATTGCAAACTTTCCAAGTCAAAGGTTATGGAAGGTTATCCTGTTGATTTATTTATTTTCAAATCAAAACTATGGTTATCCTTCATTGTCCTGATTCACTTTTTATTTTGACCTTAGTTTATTTTCCAGTTTGACTTTATGGTCGCCAACAGCCATTAGTGCATTTAACAGTGCAATACCGTGTTCCACCAGTAGGTGACACTGATGAGATACAAATTGAATTAGATTTTCCGTTTTGATGATAAGAAATCATATAACATGAGAACAAATATACATATTTTACTCCAGCAGTTACAGGTAGGATTTCAGCTCTACATAAACCAACAGTGAGTGAGTGTGAATGAGGGAGTGAGAACCAGGGGAGAGGTAATCCAGCACCTTCTAGCATGCTAGCTAGCTTTTTTCTGTAGCAGGATTGAATGAAAAATGCTGTGATCTGTTCTGAACCCTTCAGATAAGCTTGAGACAAACCTTGTTTGCAGTAAATTACCAAAATAGCCAAACACATATTTAACCCTCTGGAGGCAGGCCTTGCAGGTTTGAAACTGTTAAAACCTACCTACCTGGTTACTCCACATACGTATTTCATGAGCATTTTTTTTACTCAGAAGTACCCCTTGTTCGTTTTTTTTATCAAAACTTATTTTGAGCCTGAGAGGGTTAACTCAAACCATTTAAAAATACTGAATACACAAACATGAACCCAAGCTCTTTGTCAAAACCAAAGTCCTATCCTGCAGTTGTTGGGAAAATGACTCACTGCCATGACAAGATTCCTACCAAGCCTTAGCCTTCATGAGTGAACAGTGACGAATGCTGAATAAGACATGCAGCTGAGCAGAGACATGTTTTAGGCAGTCTTTCTTCATAGATGGGTTCTGTAAATGCTTCTCCTTTTATTTATTCATGACAGCGCCCACAGATAAGAACCTGCCCAACAGCTCCTGCGTGGAAGTGGAAGTGACCCCGCCCATGAACGGAACCGCAGGACAGGAAGGGGAAACGGTGAGAAAACCCGTGCAAACTACAACTTCATTAAACATTGCTACAAAGATAACACAACTAAAAGGTTGTGAAATATTTCATGCCTACCATGTGTATCTGTCTTGACTGAAGCAAAGGTTGCACAGTTTACAGCAGAAGGGCCACTGCTGCTGCTCATTTCCCAGCATGCACTCAAGTGAGTTCCTCCATCTGCAGCCAGACCTGCCAAAGTCCCGCTCCTTCCAACAGAGCTCTATAATCACACTCCTCACTCACCTGCTGCTCACCTCTGCTGGGCGCTGGAAATTAATGCCTTCTTACACAAACGCATGTGAACGCGGACTCTGACTAACGGCCAGCCTCCAAGAGTCTCAGAATAGCACCTGCAGCAGTTGTGCTGGCGTTGATGATGGCAGCGGGACGCAGCAACCCACCAGGCAAGCAGACGGTCCTGGCACGAACGGGCCGAGAATCAAAGTGGAGTGTTTAGAGGAGAACAGACAGAGGATGTGTCGACTGAGTGAGTCTTCCTGCTGGAGTTTCACCCTTCACATGGCAGTGGCCCAGATAGACTGGAAGAAACTTTTTATTTTGGTATTTTAAATTTGGATTTGTTTTTGCACAAGAACACATAATTTGGTTGGAGTTTTAGAGTCAAAAACATCTGACAATTAATCGTGATGTTTTAAACTCATGTTCTTGGTGATTTGTCTTACTGATCAGTCCCAAAGTGAAAATCTAAGAGATTCTTTTCTGAACTTTAGAGGAACTGATCTCTTCTTGTCTGCCAGTCAAGTCATATTGATGCCTAAAACTAAAATAAAACATAAATAAACAGATTAATTTATGTTTGTTATTGCCTGCTGCCAAAAAGGCGGGAACGGTGGCAATTCCACTTTTCTTCATGAGTGTGTTTAATCAAAATATCTCATCAAATTTTGGGAAGTAATCACTGGATAAAGACACATCACTGATTAAATTTGTGGGAAGCCAAATTCAAGATGGCCACCAAACAATCCCCATCTCTCTAATTGTAGATCAGTCTTTAAGCGTTGGCCTTAACCATTAAATCAATCCTTTCTGACTGTTTAAAAACATTTGATGAGCTACTGAATGGATTTTAGGGAAACTCCAAGAAAGTAACTTTTTTACTCTTTGGCGTCAGCTAAATTCAAGATGGCCATCAGAACTTAGAAATCACAAAATGGTTAATAATGTCAGTTTTCCAGATTTGCGCTAAAATTTGGTGCTGTAGTAGCTGGGAGTTATTCTCATCATGTAATCTGAGAACTTGGACAGGATTTGCACGGCAGGATAATCACACAGATTTTTGACCCCATCTTCCTAGAGCCCTGCACGGGCCTAAAATCTGAGCCGGCCCGAGGGGGTGTAGCCCCTGCCCGACCCGGTCCGAAAAGGTTTTCAGGATTCTCTGGCCTGACCCGAGCCCGAGTCTGATTTTTTTTTAACCTTTCATAATGTTTTAGCATGATAGAATGCTCAGCATTCTAATTATCTGTGGGGAGCGTTCTGCAGTAAAAAAAAAAAAAAAAAAAAAAGAACGAAAAACAGCATCAATGCAGCTTTTTTTCCTAGCAGAGCGTATTTTTCGAGCGGCAGATGAAATTTACGAACACTATATTAATTGGATGCATTTGTAAAATTAATCTGCTCTGAAAATGCGCTCTTGTGCAATTCGAAAAAAACCAGCATTCTAATTTTCTAACTGCAGAGCGCATTTTCAGAGCGGCAGATCAAATAAACGCCCCCAATTAATATAGCGTTTGTAAATTTAATCTGCCGCTCTGAAAATGCGCTCTCCAGTTAGAAAAAAAACCCAGCAATGAATGCTGTATTTTTTTTAACTGCAGAGCGAATTTATTCACAGAAAAATAGAATGCTGCCGTTTTCATGAGACTAAACGAATGGCTTCTGACATATCAAAGTGGACATAAAATGGCATATTAGAATAGGGGCACATGTTTCAATCAGCAGTTTGAGAATTTGTTTATATAGGCGCATTTATAAACCACACAGACCTTAACTGAGCTAACGGTTGCCGGTGCGTGAGAAGCAGGCAGGTGCTGCTGCGTTTAAGTGTTTCAGTTTTTTTTTTTATGAATTTGATTAAAAATAAAGGCGCCCGGCCCGGCCCATGTCCGAGGTAATTACACAGTCGTTGGCCCGAAGTCCGGCCCTAGGGACGTCGGGCCGGGCTGACCCCCAGGCCTAGGGCTTCAGTGCAGGGCTCTACATCTTCCTACTCCAACATTCTTAAGAATGTGTCTGATTATTGTTATGGCCCTACAGATAATCTTATCAGATAATCCTGTCATGTGTGGTGTGTTACGAGTGCTTTGGTCAGCTCGGAAGGGTGTTGTGGCTTCTGAGGTCATAAATAGCATTGGATTGTCTTGGTTCAGTTTACTAGGACAAAAAAGAACATTTAGCCAATCAGAAAGTCAGGTGGCAAAAGTGACCGCAATGCTCATCAGTCATATTTGTTCACTCCAAAGTTACATTTGACCTCGAGTGGTTTTGCGAGAATTCCCGCTTCACGTGTTATTTAAAAACCTTGTCCTGTGTAAAGGCCTTTGGGATCAACGTGAGATTTTTACTCAAATTTTTTAAAATGATCTGTGGGTGTCAACAATGACTTTCACCAAAATAAATTCTGAACCATTGGATGTGCATTTACATGTGATTAAGCTAATTATTGACACAAGAATAAATATAAGTCAGTCGGTTTTACAGCGATTCAGCTGAAACCCCATGTAGTGCCATGTCATTCACAACAACACAGCACCCAGTACTCTGAGTGCTAACAGAGTGAGTGAGATCTTGTGATATTGTGATCATGCATAATGTTCTTTTTAACTTTGCACCAAAAAGGCTGTGACTCCATCATTTCCCAACTCAAAATCATCTTAGTTTAAAACTCTTGCATAAAAGTGGGTAGATGATGCCTCCTTTGGTCACTGTATAGTCATTCAGTCTAATTAGTTCCAATTGCAATATAAACCCATATGATCAGGTTCTCAATCAAATTCAATTACACAGAGTCAGTTTGTTGTGGTCAAATTAAAGACGAGACCTAAGTGAAATATTTAGACCAATTCTGAATAGAAATACAACTGTGTTGAGACACGAAGCTCTGATTTTGTGAATAAAACACCATATGTACTTTAGACAAATCTTAGCTGGAAATTGCAATAAAATTATTCTTGAAATCATTTAACTTATATAATTGAAATCTTTTCACTAAGACTATTTACAGTGATATACAAGTACTGGCAGAGGTTAATCTTGTTCAGTTTACCTTGATTTAACTAGTCCCCCATAGTAATATCCATTTTTATTCAAATCCTGATCCCTTCTACATATTAAAGGTGAACTTAGCTGGAAAAATAATTTATTAATGATTATTTCTGATTATAACCGGACACTCTGGGTTTTGCATGCAGCCTGAACATGAAAATAGTCTCCTACACCTATCTCCTGCATTAGCTTCTGATAGAAAATAGATGGTGAAATTCTAGGGTTAGAAAATCCTCACTGATCAACGTCACACTGTCACTTAACGTTCATGGACTCACCCATCTTCGACGGGGAAGGCTGTTGTTGGTTTAGCATCCTGGAAACAGTAGAGAATGCCTCAGCTAGTAGAAGCTAATCATTAGCATTAGCAGCTCCACCACACAGCAAAACTCCTCTAGGCTTTTGTTATTTGTGGAGATAAAACATCAACTTTGCAGAGCAAACAGAGTCAGTAGAGTCGCAATGCAGTTAGTCGATCAGAGGTGAGGTTTCCTAATATCAGGAAATAAGACTCCAAATCCTGCTGTCTTCTAGCACTTTCTCACCTGGCTAACTTGTTTGTCCTCAAACAGGCACACCAGAGCTTTGTTTCCTCTGATTACGACTTACAAGGCATTCATTCCCACTAGAGACCACTGAAAATGTATTAAAATATGAGTAAAGTTGACCTTTAAAGTCTAATCAATAACAATTCTGCAATTATTATTTTTAGAAAAATAAGGTTTAAATTCATTAAACAATTAATTAAAATGTAAAAGTCTGTGATGCAAATCCAAATGTGATTTGTAAAACTGTTTTTTCCAAACTTCAATAGCCCTGGATGCTTACTGGCACGTCTTATTTCAGCTTGCTGCTATTTTTAGATATCTGCGCCACAGTGCAGCCGCCTGTGTCCCCCAGGAAGTTGCTGGAAACAGCTCACGCCATCAAACGCCACCAGAGGCCCCATCCTATTAATCACTCTTCCTCTCTTGGTAACCAACAACCGACACAGGGGGGCAGGGAAGGAGCGAGGAGCAAATTAAAACCTGACGCAGAGTACTTGTCTAGTCTCTTGGTGAATCTCCAGAGAATCAAACAGTTAGATTCCTCCCAAACATTGTAAATCAAAAGGTTTGGTGTTCGTGAGTCTCACTCTGTATCTCATTTCTTCTGATTTCAGTGTCGTTTTTGAATTTTTATGGTAGCATAAACCTCCTGCAACAATTTCTTTAAACAGTGCAACTCTGGGTAAGCATCAGCTCCATGACAATTTAAGAGATTTGGGGAAAACGAAATGTGTGCCATGTGTTTATTAGTCGTAGGATTTAAGGCCTGTTTCCTCTTAGTGAATAATAAGAGAATTTTGTATCCAGATGGGGCTTGAGTTAAAAAATGCTGCAGCAGCTGTTGCAGTACTGGATCTAAAAACGATTCATGCAAAAAAAAAAAAAAAAAATTAAATAAAGCAAGCTTTTTTACTTTTAGAAAAACTGTGAAAGAAATTAGCGTTATTTCACAAGAGTGCACTGAAGATGATTGAAATTTAAATAGAAGAGCTCTTTCTGAAAACATCCAAAAACAAAAGTGCGAGGAAATGCAGGAGAGCTGAATCTCATGTTCCATCTCTGCTAAAAAGAAACATTTTCTTTATTTCTACAAATCAGACCAAAAGGAAAGCTTCTGCTTCTTTATTTGTTTACAGGTCTTTAAACCATATGAGCTCGCATTCATTCTCACTCCAGGTACAAGCGCCAACACCTTCAGCAAGAAAGTAAAAAAGAAATAAAAACACTTAAAAACATGAGCCTAATGTCACCCCGCCTCTCTGCGCTCTGCGGTGTCTGATAAAAGTCAGTGCCTTTAAGGCCAGAGTTGGCAGCGTTACCAGCCGAGGCTCCGCGGGGCAGGAAAGGCCCCCGAGGGGCTGGCATTTCAGAACTAAGTTAGAGTAGGGGGGCATCAGCTATGTGGGAGGCCTAATCTCACAAAGCATGCAAAGCAAATCATAGCTGGGTGAAGTTTGTGTTTGGTAATAGTCATTAGAATCTAGGCGACATGTCCATGAAAACAACAGCAGGGGAAATTGAAAAGTGTTGATAATGATATTTTACAGTATTTTGTTCAACAGTATGCTTTCATTTTATCTCAACTACTTCTACCTCTTCCACAAGACCCATAGTACCACCTGAACCTGGTTTAAACACCACAGCCTACTTGAGTATTGTTGCTGACCATGTCTATCTCTTTATGACCACAGTGGACCCATCTTCTGATGGATAAAGCACCATGTCACAAAGCTCAGATCATCTCTTACTGGTTTCTAGAACAAAAAAATGTGTTCATTGGACTCCAACGACCTCCACAGTCACCAGATCTCAGTTCACGTTAGAAGAGTTGGGATGTGAGATTCACATAATGGATGTGACTGTGTGATGCTGCCTTGTCAGTACGGACCAGAACTTCTGAGGGATGTTTGCATCCTGTTGCATACGTGACTTAAGGTAGTTCTGGTGGCAAAATGAATCCTACCTGGTTTAATGCTGTGGCAACGTGAACTAATCAAGAATATGAGAAGGAGAATTTGAACTGTGAACGGCAGCTCCCCCTGCCTGTCTGAAAGGAGTTGAAAGCCATGCCATATACCGGTCAGGGAAAGCTGAAACAACAGACAGAGCTAACAATAGTTTGATGTAGCACTGTCATGGTGAAGTGAGAGCTGAGCTGGAAGGGGAAGCTCTCGATTTACTGGTTGATCTACATTCCTACTCTCACCTATGGTCATGAGCTTTGGGTAGTGATCGAAAGACTGAGATCGCGGATACGAGCGGCCGGAATTAGTTTTCTCCGCAGGGTGGTTGGACTCTCCCTTAGAGATAGGGTGAGAAGCTTGGTCATTCGGGAGGGGCTCGGAGTAGACCCGCTGCTCCTCCACATCGAGAGGAGCCAGTTGAGGTGGCTCGGGCATCTGGTCACGATGCCTCCTGGACACCTCCCTGGTGAGGTTTTCCAGGCACATCTAACCGGGAGGAGACCTAAAGGAAGACCCAGGACACGCTTGAGGAACTATGTCTCTCGACTGACCAGAGTCTTAGGATTCCCTCAGAGGAGCTGGCCCAAGTGGCTGGTGAGAGGGACATCTGGGCCTTGCTGCTTAGGCTGCTGCTCCTGCGACCTGATCCTGGATAAGTGGCTGAAAATGGATGGATGAATGGACACAAAAGATAAATGCATTTTCATTCCCCTCCCTTTTATTCTACAGTTAGCTCTAAGGTGACATTATTTCAATGCACGCCGAGTTAATGTTCAAGCTAGCCCCATATTAGCCTACAGTAAACACAGGATACAGCAGTTATCTGCACTATTATTACTTTTACTTCATTAAAGGTTTGGTTGCAATTGCCTAAAATACAATAAATTGGTTAGTATTTATCTGCCCAAAAGGAACATTTCCCAACTCTTCATCAGTCTTGAGCCCTTGTAGTTCACAAAGCTCCCTCTATCTTTAAAAGGCGTATCTAACATAAATTCTACTCGACTGTCGTAAACGTCTCACAGCGAGTTTTGCAGAAGGACTTTTCAAATGTTTAAGTCTTTCAGAAGTAGAAGGCAGGTGAGGAATCAGTAACTTTGGTACTTGTTTTAGTTGCAAACATTCCGTTTTTTTCTTCTTCGTTGGTGTGCTAAACTGACTAAGACGTGTCAGCTTTTGTTTGATAGCTCCCTCTTGATTACAACTTTGCTCCATACTCAGGTAAAGAAAAGTTAAAAAAGGCAAATTGGACAGGCTACTCTGGGGTTTCCACCACAGTGAGTTCACAGATGTCACTTGAAATCTTTGCATGTAGCATTATGGGTTTAGCTGTTGCCAGGCTACAAACTCTCCAATGGATCCATGTCAATCCCTGTAGATTTCAACCACTCCTTTCTCTTAACCCAACTTTCCATCATGTTTTTTTTCAAGACTCCGAAACAGTATTTGTTCACTTTTCCTGGACAGCTTATCCTTTAATAATATAATTCCCCTTCTAGGAATAATAAAGTATTGTTTAATTCAGCTGAGACAACAATGTAGCCATCTGGACATGGAGAGCAGGAGAAATGAGAATGCTGAGCATAAGCGATGCGAGCGCTGCCTTTTGTTTAGCAGCTCTGATTACCAAGGTTACCAGGCGATGCTCAGCAGCTGGAGCTGTCACAGCAGGAAGAGCTACGTATGATTCATGCATAAGCCATTTATTCAGAAAAGATTTTGCCTTCACTCTACGGGCATGCTAAGCCCTTCTGATTGAAGATGCTCCACTGTACACGATCCTTCCCGGTGCATGTCCTCTGCATTGTGCTTTTTTCTTCACACCATGCTTCTACATCATCCACATGAGGGTACAGCGAGAGTTCTAGGTCACCCATGTGTCTCATCAGCCGTGCGTGTGTGGACCTGCTCCCTGCCGGTCTCTGTGGGCCATTATCATCATGAATAATTTGATTCAAATGGGCCCAGGACATATTTCCACTCCCAGAAGTATCTGTCGCTGCATGGCTTTAACCAAGAAGTGAGTTAGCGGCTGTGAGCTCAAATAAAATATAATTTAGCTGTCAACGTGTTTAATGGTAAAGCCGACTCTCCCAGGCTTATTTAGCATTCCACTAGCAGGTCCGGTCAGACCCCCAGGGGTCGGCTCGGGAAGCCGACATCAGCAGTCAGCGCTGATGAGCCCCCGAGCTTCGGCTGTGAAACCGAGCACATCAAGATCAGTGCAATCACCTAAATCAGTCATCAGCCTCGTCTGTCTGAAGGTCACCGCAGAGTGACGACGTACGGGCTTCCAGGTCCTGCTGTCAGCTCGGGCAGACCTCCGAGATGTCTGTTTTTCTCCTGACGTGTTGCAGGAGTTCTGCCTTCTCCTGGGATGGTTGCTATGGAATGGTGCATCCTGATGAGAGCGTTTATCGAGCTGAAGGGCTGTGGTGAATTTTTCTATCAGCCATTTCTGTACATGCAAAAAGCATGACTCAGCCCATTAGGTTGTTTGCCTCGTGTTTAACTGCTGCTTATCTCCAAATGGTCGTGCTGTTGTGGCGTCATTGAGTGATGCCTTCAGACCAGAAATAAACAGAATGTTTATACATATCCTTTAACATTTTCCTGTATTTTCTGTTGGTTTTTGGTGTTTGTTTTCAGGCTGAGGATGAAGAAGAGGAGGACCAGCCTCTGAGCCTGTCCTGGCCCGAATCCAACCGAAAGCGCTTCACCTACCTCTTCATCATGCCCATCGTCCTGCCCCTTTGGCTAACTCTGCCTGATGTCAGGAAAACGGTGTGTGAGATTTTTTTTTTTGTGTGTGTTCGTGTGAGTTCTGCCACATTGGTAGGTGTTGGAAGTTTGAAAACTGATTTTAAAGTAGCATCAGTGTTGCCTGTTTCTTTTATCTTCCATTCCCCTTCACCAGCGACTCTACCAATTTTACAAATACTGGTTGTTTGGTGATGTCTGTCGATATTATTTCCTTCTTAGCTACAATCAACATGAGTTAACCACAAGTCCCAGTTACTCTAGCGGGCCTTTCGGTGTTCAGGTACTTGGTTGGTTTTTGAAATGTCTAATGGGGATATAATGGAGACGCCCACATGCCACGAAAAATTACCCGGAGGTTCCAACAGTGGAAATGGGCCAAATTTTTGAGAAATTCAAAATATCCATTATATTTTGATTTAACAGCTTCCCTTCAAATTTGTATTTTATAGTGAAAAGTCAGTCAGTTTTTATTTTCACTGCTTACAGGACTGCGACACACTCTGGTTTCTAACTCTAGCAGTCATTGGGAAAAAGTCTGGAATACCCTGGACAGGTCGCCTGTACATAGAGACACATAGAAGCAAATAACCAGTCACACAATCGCACCGTAAATTGCAATGGTCATAATTTTTAAATACTGAGGTGCTGTAAATATGGTTACAGGAGCTCTTTGTCACAGCAAATAAATGGAAAAAAATCATTCTAAACTCAACTCAGAATGTTTATTCATTTTTGGTTTTGGATTAACTTTTTCCTGGTAAAGAGGCTCAAAAAACATTGTTTTTCAGACAAACCTTCTGCTTCCAGCCAGTTGCTACAGTATAGGGAGCCTAAGTCATTTCTTCACAACGGGTCCCCGGAAGAACAAATAAATGAACGCAAGTCAATGGGGCTAAAAACAATATTTTCTAATTTTGCTTGTTTTGAGCCATGGATTTCACATATGATGTCCGTGAATTTTAAAGACACATTTTGATACCAAAAACGTGCTCATTTTTGAACGGGGGGAATGGCATTTTAGGTTTTGTGTGAAAATAAGTCCAGGACTACAATTGCGCTTCATGAAAGTGACGTCATTGAACCAGACATGGAGAAAACTGAGGGGAAAGGGCTGTAAGTTCAGCAAACTTCCCACAGGAGGAAAGAACCACCATAAATCTGGCCATTTGGTAAGTAGCAACTACTTTGGGGGGAGGAGATTATGTGGTCACGTCACATATGCGACGTGTCGATTTCTAATTTGGAGTCATGCTAATTACAAACTTTTACAAGCTAATAAATCTCAAAGTACATGACTGGCATGGTTGAAACACCCGTCAATAGTTTTCATTTAAATTGCATTACAACATATGTGCGATCCAGGGCATAAGGCAACGCAGATTAGAAAATAGCATTTTTAGTCCCGTTGACTTGCATTCATTTTTTTTGTTCTTCCAGGGATCCATGGTGCGGAAGTAGACTTAGACTCCCTATCTTCTTCCTCTCTGTTAAAATCCTAGTTCCATGTCCCTCAGATAAGGTGCAAGGATATCAATATGTGGACTTTTTGTTTAGACCATAAACTCTGAGGAACACTATAAATTGCTGGGGTTTATTTTTATTGTGTGACTTTATTAAATATAATATTGCATCTCTGCAAGTTACATTAACCATCATCCCCAGAATTTAGTGATAAAATGCATAAGTGTAAAAAAGGTTTACCGCATAGCTTATTTTTTCCCCATTCATCTACTGTGATACCAGCTTCCCTTTCCCACTTCTCCCATATGTTGTCCTTGGTATCCCCTCTCAGCTCTTCCAGAACCATATACATGTCAAGTGTGGTTGCCACTTATGATTTAATTAAATCATAATTTTTATCTTCTTTTTCAGACATCTAAGAAGTTTTTCCCCGTTACGTTCCTGGGTGCCATCTGCTGGATTGCAGCCTTCTCCTACCTAATGGTGTGGTGGGCTCACCAGGTACTTCTCAGTGTTAAGCAAGCATAATCCTCTTCCAAAACAAATTCAAGATTCTTTGCCTTTTCTCCCACCCTTGACATTTGCTTTAATCCATAATCCATCCACTCAGATGTAATTACAGCCACCTCACTACTAACTCGTCTGATTTTTGTCACAACAATAAGCTTCGAAGCAACATTAAAAATAACTGGAACAAACGATTAGGTTTTATTTATCCTGGAGCTTACTTTTAAATTTTTACTTTTTGCAGGTTGGAGAGACCATTGGGATTACAGAAGAGATTATGGGTCTGACTATATTAGCAGCTGGAACCTCCATCCCTGATCTCATCACCAGTGTCATAGTGGCACGCAAGGGGCTGGGTGATATGGCTGTTTCCAGCTCTGTGGGCTCCAACATCTTCGACATTACTGTTGGGTATGCAATCTAAATAGGTCTGAGTCTGTGCTGAATGTTTTAATAATGTTAAACAAAAACATGGAGGAAAGGGTGTGAATCATGGTTCTCCCTAAAACATCCGTTTTATGTTGAGTACGGACTTTAGTTTGTAAAACGAACACCATTGCTAATCAACCCTAAAAAGCACAGCAATGGCAACAACTCAGTCAAGCTGTTAGTATCTCAGAGTCATTCAAAATGCATACTTTGTGTGCCATTAGATTATTTAAGATCTTGCAATGTGTTATAAGATATCAGATGACATGTTAAATGTTTTTACCAAAACAGCTATAGCACCTTCATTTCTCAACCTTTGCTGAGGACAAACTCTGGTGGTGAATGATATTTGTTCCTTCAAGGAATGCTAGGCCTTCTATTTAACCTATACTTGAATATCAAAAATACCTTGAGAATCTCATTAGATAGATTAACACCTGTAAGAAAGAATCAAATTATCAGAAAGTACACAGCTATTTTAAGAATACTTTGCAGTACTTCATTTTGTTGTTCATTTGTTTAGTCCTACCATTGTAATCTAAGAAAGAATCTCTTCTTTCCTAGTGGGTTCCTGGTTTAGTGACAGCAAACATTAGTGATAGGAGTACTATAAAATACTTTTTAAACCAACCAGTGTTGGAAAACTAGATTGGATGTTGAAAAAATGTGTTTAAACTGGGTACAAAATACACAGAGGCTTTCGGGGGAGCCCAGTGAGAACGTAGGGTTGGGGGGGGTGGGGGTGGGGGTGGGGGCTTGAAATGGCTTTCCTACGTTTTCACCTCATGAACAACTTTTGATCTAAGCACATCAAAGGGATCTACAGACAGCAAAAATGGCAGTGTGCACTGCACTGCTGTGTCAGTGAGGTGAAGTCACCGGAGCATGGGAGATGAGCTCCACAGCAGCGGAGCGCATCAGGCACAAATAAAAGAATATCAGCAAACATGAACGATCGTGTGTTACTTATGTTTTTTTGGTGGTGCTACGTTCCCTGCTATATTAAGTTCATATAAATAATGTAATATAGGTAGAAACAGGTTTGGTTTTTTTTTTTCGGAATCCCCCGCTTGTGTAAGTTGAGGGCTTCTAGGGGAGCCCATCACCCTTTCAGGGGAGCCAGGCTCCCCATAGCTCCCCTGTAGTTAGTATTTTAAAGTAAAATAAATCCTGAATATGGATGTTTTGGAGGCTGTTACACTAAAAGAAACAACTAAAGCAAAGAACCCCTTGTAATTGTTTTGTGTTTGTGAATTTGCAGACTACCATTTCCTTGGCTCCTGTGGTCCCTCTTCAGGGGCCTTAGTCCAGTAAAGGTCAGCTCAAATGGGCTCTTCTGCGCCATCGTTCTCCTCTTCCTCATGCTCCTCTTCGTCATCATCTCTATCGCAGCTTGCAAGTGGCGCATGAGCAAGCTTCTGGGCTTCATCATGTTCATGTTGTACTTCGTCTTCCTGGTGGTCAGCGTCATGCTGGAGGACAGAGTCATCACCTGTCCGGTGTCCATCTGAGGACACGTCCATCATCACCGCCATCCGACAACAATCCGTAACATCTGCTCTCAATCTCACCTGACCCTTGTGATCTTTTACACCAGGAGTAAAATAAAAAATAAAAAACTGTTACAATTACTCAAGATATTTCTTGGAAACGGGAGACGACAGGATGGAGTTAACTCAACTAGACTTTGGCTTGGAAGGTTTTGTACAGGCCTGCACTGAGTGGATTTTGACTTATTTTTATTTTGCTGGGAGGTGAGAAGGATAGGATTGGCAGGTTGATGCTAAAAACAGAAGTATTATGCATGCCATCAGTTTCCCTCGAGGCGCTGGAATGAGTTCAATTTTGTGGAAAACAAATGTGAGAGTTGCATTGAACAAACCAAGAAATGCAGTGACTGAGCAGGAGTTGTGAGCATATTTGAAGACACCCTGGTTCAACAAACACGCCATCGCCAAGACTAGATGTGGAGGAATTTATGGCAAACTGGGGATTTTGCTTCGTCCATGATGGTATCAAGGCTCTCTTGAAATCGAACTGGGCAAAACTTTTTATTTCTTCATCTGTAGTCCACTCTTCCCTCCTCCCTGCCAGTGGTCTCATTTCATTTTGGTGCATTTTTAATTTCTCAGATCCATTTCCACAAGGTATTAGAAATAGTGATAGATATGCAGTAAGAGTATTAGTTGAGCCATTTTCATGTTTGGCTTCTTTTTCTTCTTCTCTTGCACACACACTGATTGTACAGGACCTTCCATGCTTCACGAGTACCAATGGGGAGGGAAAAAAGGCAAGTATAAAGCCAGACTGAAGTTTAGCTTCCAAATATACACTAGCCTCAAATATCTCGTACCACTCTGGAGGAAATGCATGAGTACTTAGGCTCATTGAAGTTTCATAACTAATCAATGTCAAAAGGTATACACTTGAAAAGAACTTTACAGTGTTTAAGTGTCACAGTTGACTTAGATTAGTCAATGTGTAGTGCTTTGTTCATAGTAGAACTTGGCTCAAATCACCACCTAGTTAAGCTGTTGGGTTACAAGGCATTAAATGCATGAAAATGTTTTTAAAAGACCCCGAAGGGGAAAATATAACCTACCAACCAAACATTTAAGGGGTTGTATACAAAGTGTAAACTTTTTATCGAAACCTTTTCTTTACTTGTATGTAAGAGAGCGTCTACATTCATTGGTCAGTGATACTAACATGCTATTGATTTCTTTTCTAATCAAAGGTGCTTTTTGTGTGCATGTGCAATCTGCATTTGGAAACACAAACACCATTCTTTAATTTTACTCAGAAATGGAGGCAAAGAAGTTGTGTACTCATGCCAGTTTGTGTAAAACCAAAGGCCAAATCCCATTTACTCCCTTGGTTCTTCTTCACATTTTGTTCATTCCTCCATGGCAGTTGTTGGGTATTCCCAAATCTGTTTGATGGCATAGTGAAGGAGTAGCGTTATACTGCTTTTCAAACTGTTTGTTGTATGCTTTATAACTACCATTAGCCACAACTGTGTACCAACTTCTCCAGGGTTTCCCACATTGCAGTGACCTTCTTCTTTTTTATGTTTTTGAATAAAGGGCCAAGGGTGCAAGGCAGGGGTAATACTAGCAAATGGGATTTGGCCAAAGTCTCTCTTTAATACACGTGTAAATCACACACTTAATAGCAATATACAATGTGTCGTCTTTCAGATTCCCATCCTCCGTGTCTAATTTTTGTTCAATCTGAATATCCAGGATGTAAAGCAGGCGACCAGTTCTCCTTAAACAGCGTTGGTTCCTGTTAGCGCTGGCCATAAGCACCTGCTTTATCTCAACACTGCTCCTGTAAAGCAGCGTTCTAAGAGTTACCTGTAAAATACTAGTAAATAGTCTTTAAATGTGTGAGAAAACTTTGCATGCGAGGAACTTGGGCTGGTTACCCACAGACTGTACAGCAGAACTTAGACCAACTGTATGTTGACTTTTATGCACCCGTTCACAGAGAAACACCAAGAAATCATTGGCTTTATTTTTGTAAATATGAACTTTTTTGCTTTTTAGCAACAACCAAATGTTCACATGTATACTTTTTAATTTATTTTCTTGAATAGTAGATTGTAAAAGAACAGATATTTTATGCCTGTGACCCTTTAGTAGCAACACATTTTGCACCTGATTAGCACAAATCAACTGCCTGTCCATTTTCTGTGATTTAAATGAGGGCTTTAAAACAATAGTTCTGGCATTTTAAGTGAGTTTCAGTGGAAAGGTTATTAAGAATTAATAAATTACCTACTTTAGGAGGAGCTTTGGACAACTTCAATTTGGAGAAAAAGTTGGATTATGACTGGGTTTACAAGCTAACTGCTAGCATGAGCATGGCCAAATGAAGTGGACTGGGGCTGTTCTATAATACGCCGATCTCAACAGTTTCATTTTAGATTATGAGAAAGTTACTTTTTCTTTGTCTTGACTTTTAAATTATATAGTTATTTACATTAATTCATGCAGTTATTTGTGATGGGCAATAGCAGTAGCTGTTTCACATCCAGTGTAGCTTAAGGCCTTTCATGCAGGTGTATTGATCAACATAGTTATTCAAGTACTTTGAGCTCAGGTACTGGGTAACCATGACAACCATACCATTACCATTTTATTGAAGGTGCAAACACACCAGTCCCAGTTAACAGACACCTGATTACATATCTAGACTTTCAGCTGGCATTTTAGAACTACATAAGAGGAAATTAACACTTTGTGGGAAGTTTCAACAATACTTTTGGTCGTTTTTCAGTAAATAAAGACAATCAGTTTTATAAAGTCAAACCTTTAATTTTGTCCTCTAGCTGTTACATTTTAAAGCAAATGCTAAATGTGCAGAACTAAATGACATTAAAAAAATGTTATATCTTTAAACAAAATTAATTAATTTTTTATATGAAATATAAATATTGACCACCATACATCTTTATTTATATCCAGTTTATCAAATATTCTACAAAATCATTTTTAAGCATTTTTTCATAACATTACATTTTGTTTGCACCTATGACAATATGACGGCATTGCACGTGCAATTCATTCTGGGTAGCATATCTTTTTTTCACAGAAATAACATTTTTTGTTCATTTGATTCATTTTGGTTCATTTGCAACGGAAGTTTTTTCAGATGATACTAAACTAGCCTCTCTGTGATTAGCTGTTAGCTTGTCAGTTTGGTTAGAATCAAACTTTATTTCCCCAAACTGAGGCTGACCAGAGAGCTTTCTACAGCAGATAGGATGTTAATTGCTCAAAAACTCTCCGCAGAAACCCCTTTTGTAAAAGATCAGAACTATCTATGAATACCACATTGCCTCCTCTGATTCCACCAGGCTATACAGCCACTGATGTTTCTGACATATTACAACAGGATAAAACAAACCCTTCTCTGAGTGGTGTGCTCTCACCTTTTACATTTTCACCACCCAGATGGGATGAGTCCATTTATGGTCTCTGCGATGACTCATGATGTTCTTTGTGAAATATCCTCCTGTTGCACACTTTGTCATTAAACCCTCTCCCTCTGAGCGCATGAACACTCTGGTTAATGTGATCTCACCTCAGCTCTACTTTCTTCTCACCCCATCTTCAAAAGAATACAAATGACAGATCTTTTTTCTTTATGTTCTTACCCGGGCTTAGATGATGAGGTGAATACTATTTTCATGGCTGAGCAGATCTTAGACTTGACAGAATTACTTACAGGGAAAAAATAGTGAGAATTATTGTCTAATTTGCACGTTGGATCTTATTTATTAATCTGCACTAAATCCAAAAAGTGAAAACTCTTAATCTCCCCATGTTACAATAGTGAAAAAGCTTTAAAAGTGTGACTGTAACATGTTAAAATAAGACATTTGAATGTAATGACTAGTACGATTTTCCCCTCCCTGATTAAACCCCCAAAGCCCCACGTAACGAGACACTTTACAAATGTTTATTTTTTTGAGAGTGATCAAAAATACAAAATAAATAAAGACGTATTTAAAAATATCAGATTGGTTTAGCGCAAGCGCTTGACATTGATTGTGGTTTCACCAAGTGAAGGTTAGCCACTAATGAACATTCTTGCACTGTAAATGTTTTATTTTCTTGGTGTTAATCTAAGATTTATTTAAAATGTACATTCAATGTAAACAGATAGAAATGATCCATATAATCTATATGTGTAAAAGAAACATGTCTCTTTATGTAAAAACACAAAATAGTTAATATTAATACCAATAAAAACAAATAAAGATGCTAATTCAAATATGCAAAAGTGTGTTTGTCTAGTTTTCTTTGCTTCAAGCCTTTTTATTTTAGCTGTATTTATGTGTCGTTATCCAAAAAGGTTTTGTGAAATAATGAACAGATGGTCGGGTTAGAATTTTTATGTCACCAACATGAAAGCATGGATCCATCCTGTCTTGTTTCAATAGCTGTTTCCACAACGGGAGTTCTGGGACATTTCTGGAAGAGGAAAAAGGGACTTGGAGATACGATGGCTCGGTCCTCTCAGCTGTTGTGTCTCCATACATAATCGGCCCTTTGCTCAGCATATCTCTGCAGCTTCATCAGTGAGTGATGTCACTGATCAGCGCCAAAAACCGCCCATGGACATCAATAACAGCGACGGTTTTATTCTATCAACATACAACTTAATTTAATCAATTCAGAGGGTGGGCAGAGCAGCTGTGACGTAAAAAGCAGCGTTCAATGACCAGCTGATACACCGTTTTATTTGGTGATCTGTAAGACCAAAAAGTGCCTTGAGTTAAGCCGTTGTTTTGGTCTTGGGAGTTTAGAAATAGTGATTTTAGAACAGCAAGAAATTTTCTTTTCCTTCACCAGCAGCTCCACCAAAAGTTGTTTTGGCTATGTCTGCAATGTCATTTCCTACTAGCCGTTTTCATAAGACACACCGTGCCGACAAATCAGCGTAATACCGCTGCCACGGTGTGTCTTATGAAAGTGCTATGGCACGATGGTGATGTGGGAATTCATGGCTTTGTAGTAATATTACCACAACAACGGACTTGTGAATAAAGACTATAAAGATTACACCTTGGCATCGCAGAGGCTGTCCGCCAAGCCCGGCCAGCAACTATATTGAAAACGAAAGTAAACAGTAAGTTTTGCTTTTGTAAACAGAATCAGCTGAGATGATTAACTGGAGCGATGCAGAGCTCCAGGAGCTTCTCACCGTTAGATCTGAAATCACCAGACAGTTCACGAGGACTGTGGAAGGCAGACACCTTTAGGAGCAGCTTGTAAAAAAAACTTAGGGAGCACAACTTCAATCTCAATAAACAGCAAGTTATGTCCAAGCTGAAAGGAAGTCTGAGACAACACAGAGAGCGCCCCACACACCCTTTATACATCTATGTCATATACTTTAGCGAAAAACACACAATCGCACCACATTACAGCCACAGCCTGACCACTTATGAATGACCAAAGTTTCCCTGATGCCGGCTCAGCTTTGTTTTCTGAAAGAGGCTATTGAGTTACAACCAACCATCAGTTAACCACAAGTCCCTCTCAGCGACTCCACTGGGCTATTCCCAGTCCAGGTACTCAGTTGGTTCCAGAAATTTCCTGGGAAATGGTCCTTTCAGGCCGGACTAGGGAAGTGTAGACACATGTATGCAAGGTGGGTCTGGAAAATGACCTGGAAGTTCTGATGGTGCAAAGGGCCTATGGCTTTATGCACTGCTGGTTGTAAAATGGAGAGGGGGGTTCTTTACTTTGGCCTCTTTATCTGTCAATTTCCCTAATGTTTATTAAGCCTAATTAAAGAAGACAACTTTTAAATTAATAATGATTCTAGAAATATTCCTGACTGTACAAGAAGAGGGAATAAGTGTCTCCACGGTCCCCTTATCAGCATAAACCCTGGAATATGGCACCATCTAGTGCCCAAACCCTGCCTCCTCACAGTGGCTGAGCAACTGGTGCATCCACCCACAGTTTGTATTGGATTTTCATCATTTGAAGCATTATCCCTGAGTTCTCATGAAAAAACACACCTTTGTCTTTCTGTGGAATGATGCCTTGTGGTTTTCCAAGCAATTTCTATTTTAGTCTAATCATCTCATCCCCAAATTTTTTTCTTAAGAACGGCATGATTTATTTTTAGTAGTGGAAGGACAAAAGGGTGATTTTCCATGGTAAAGTTGTTCTTAGGAGCCAGAATCCTGCCTGTGGGTTTTGGTTTGAGGCTTATCTCAGCAGGTAAGACAAATACAGAAAACCTGTTGGGATGACTTTTGAAGTGAAGCAGGACCTATAGGGGAGCAGCTTTAAGAATGTAGGTCAAGTAGAGAGCATTGGGTTTGCATTTGGCAACTTGATCCAACATTAGATGTTTTTTTAAGCTCTGCAGAAATAAACCTAAAGGTGTAATATTTTGGAACACTTACACAAAAGCACATTTCTGGGAATGCAAACACCACAACAAAACAAAACAAACAAGTGTATTCCCAGACTCTTTAAACGTTATCCACAGCATGATCTCTGAACTTTCCAGAGAAGCCTGTTTCGTTCTTTTCGGGCAGTCCCAGACTTTTTTCTGTAATCCTGATGACAAGTTTCCTACACTTTTCATCAGAAATGTTTTAAAGACTAGTCCACACACTGTAGAAAACAGCACCTGGTCAAACCAGATAGTTAAATAAATGATGGCATTGATCAGTTATGTTTGATCTGCTTCCAGATTGCAGACTGGCTCATGTCTTTTTCACTGCTGCCATGAACGTGTTTTGGTTTCAAAATCAGTCTTTTCACTAACCAAGTTTGATGTGAAAAAAACGGTTTGAAGGTAAGTTTATTTAAAAGCATCTCGTTTAAAAGGTATTTTGTTGGAAATTGTTAAGAACTGTGTCCTAGTGTGTGCAGAAAAATCACAACTCAGTGCTCAGAGACTATTAATCTGATCAGTGGTTTAATGGTCAGTCATTAAAAAAACTAAGTAAAAGGATATGTTCCTGATTTCTTAACAACTTATTTGTTTATGAATAAAAAGGATCCAGACATTTTCTAATGATTTTTTTCTGCACTGTAACTGCTAACCTTATGACCATGCCTTTAATCTGTTTTTTAAATCTGACATTAATACATTTCTTTGTTTTATTTAATTTGTTTGCTGTTCTTGCTTCCGTAAATCACTTTGAATTGCCTTTGTGTTTGAAATGTGCTATTTGGATTGGACTGGATTATTTAACATACATCCGTATGTTAAATTATCCAGTCCAATCCAATCCAGTTTTATTTATAAAGCACTTTAAAAGACCCAGCACAGGAACAAAGTGCTGTACAGAAAATACATTAAAACAATTGACTAAAGAGAAAACAGCAAAGATAGATAAATAAATAAAACATATGATACATAAAATTAAAATAGCCCTATATTAAAAATAAAACTTGAAAAAACCGCATTGAATCACCTAAAACAGCTAAAATAAAATAAAAATAGAAACCAACATCTCACAAGGTATCAAAAGCCAGGGTAAAGAGGTGGGTTTTCAGGAGTACCTTAAAAACAGATAAGGAACTGGCCTGTCTTATCTCTAAAGGAAGTTCGTTCCACAGTTTTGGAGCTGCTACAGTAAAGGCGCGATCTCCTCTAAATTTACGCTCAGTCCTGGGTACAATCAGGAGCAGCTGATCAGCAGACCTGAGAGAGCGGGAGGGAGTGTAAGGCTGTATCAGGTCAGAGAGATAAGAGGGGGCGAGGCCATGAAGACCTTTAAAAGCAAACAAAAGAATTTTAAAATGAATCCTAAAAGAAATAGGCAGCCAGTGAAGTGAAGCTAAAACAGGGAAAATGTGCTCAAACTTTCGAGTGCCAGTTAAAAGACGAGCTGCGGCATTTTGCACCCTCTGTAGGTGACTAATACATGATGCACTGACCCCAATGTAGAGTGCGTCACAGTAATCCAGCCGAGTGGTTACAAAGGCGTGGATCACTGTCTCGAAGTGCTGCCGTGAAAGAATTGGCTTTATTTTTGCCAGCTGCCTGAGGTGAAAGAAGCCAGATTTTACCACCGCCTTAATCTGATGTTCAAACTTCAGATCACAGTAATAGTGATTGTTATTCAATATAAAATATTGAATTTAACACATTTCAGACTTTTCAGCTTTTGCACTGGTACTGAATAATTTTTTTGGGCTCACCCTAGCTCCCCCATAATTCGAAACTTGCTTATCCAACAAATATAAAACCTAATGCACCCAACAAGTGAAAAATAGTGGGGAAAAAATTAAAATAAACATTCGTATTAATCATTTCTGGAAAAAACTTACTCTAAGAAATTGAGCTGAATATTGAAATGTTGAAATGGTGAATTTGCTAAATCTAGTTGCCTAAATGCAAAGAGTAATATGCATTGTTATGTTAAAGTTAATGTATATAGCTCTTTATATTTAAGTAACTATCTTCTGGAGCAAGTTGATATATCTTTGTAAAGTAAACTCAGTGTTTCATTTCTTATAGTGTACTTTAGTTAGCAGATTGTTATTAAAACAATATTTTTAACTTATTTTTTAGCAGAATTATTTCATATTTTGTTACTTTAAAAAAATGGTTTCTTCCTATTTATGCAGTATTTAAATATTCTCTAGCAGATTGTTATGCAATAATTATTTTTTCAAAATATGCATTTATTTTTATCAGGAAGCAAACTACAACCAATGAGATTAACAAAATTCAACATTATGTGATCTATAATCCAAAACGACAGACGACCTTGAACTTGCTGAAAGATACCAGATTAGATGTGAGCTTACTTGAGCTCGGGATTGAGCCTGCACAGCTGCTAAAAGTCATGGGACACGCAATGACTTGTTCACAGACAAAACCACCAAGTCCTAGGTCACAGGTTTTCACCTTGTATGCAAATGTTTTCTCAGCCAAGCAGTTCCTCTTAAATCCATGAGTCAGAAGTTGTGCTGAAGTCTGAGTGTTTGCAGGGACTTTCCCTCACCCACCTCTCATTTATTTCCAAACTCCCTTTCCAGATAATTTGCCTGCAGTTGATAAACTCCACGTGCTCACAAGGACAGGTTCAGAAGCTCTTTTCCGCATCGCCTCAGCCAACTGCTCCTCATCGCTTTGAGGCTGACTTGAAGTCTGAATGCAACAGAAATGACTCTGGGAGGAAGGTGCAGGCTGGACTATGCTTGTTTGTTTGATCTTGGACAAAATGTGGATGCAGAGAGGGTTGTTGTAGTCAGGATTTGGCCACAGCGTGGAAGAATCAACTCAAAATATTGCAGATG